TGTGTTCCGGTTTTGAAGGGTAAGCTAGTGAAATTACAGGCACATGGAACTTGTCAACTTATGTCTCAGGGTGATAGATACAGTGGTAGTGTCCCTCAGATATTTGCGCTTTAAAGCTCTGAATGGCACTGCAAAGGCGTGTAGCTTACCGTCAGGCGCACGACTTATTCGTCCCGTCACTTAATATTATAAAAATATATATTATTTCTGTAAATTTGTTTTGAAATTTAATATGAGCTTTTCGGTGAAGAAAAATATCGTGAGCAAAACCGTACACATCGGCAAGGCAATTTAATTATGTGTGTGAAGTTCACAACTAGCATTGGGCGCGCGTATAAAGTACCCTCTTCCAAGAAAAAAAGAATCATCAAAATCGGTTGACAAATCGATGATAGGCGGGAGTTATCGCGTAACAATCAGTTGGTTAAAAACCAGTAAAATAAACCTACCACAAATTAATTTGTTAAAAAATCCTTATTATAATTGACTTACACTTATCATAAAAAAGTATTGTCCAATTGGTATCCAACAAATCTCATCACACCCACCTCGGTGAAATATTTCTGAAAACAACTTGCAATCCTATTTAAGCTTTTGCCTACATTGCGTTCATGTCAGCTCTACGTAATGAGTATACTAAATTTAAAGTTGCCTATATAATTTAAATGTATAAATTAATACATCGTAGTAAACTATATGGCCTAGAATCTTACGAGTGGCCTATATTTCTGCAAGAGAAAGTTCTCGATATCGAGGATGTAACCAGAAATAGAGACGAAATGTCATTTAATTTGTTTGAAAACTATTCTGCCAAACCATTACGGCGACAATTGCGCTCCGATGTCAATCGAATGCCGCGAATTCGAAACAATTGACGGGTGTAGTCAATTATTTAACTTCAAATCGACTTTTGCAAAATTACATATTTAATTACCAATGAAATGTGATTCCGTTTGTTTTGTAATTAGATGTTTTGCTGTTTTTCCCACACCACCGAATGCAACAGCCCCCCATAGTTAGAGATATTATCTTTAATATATACAGAATAATTTTGGAATATACGGAGACTCACACACAGGTCAGTTGTTGGGGCTGTATTATTTCAGCTTTCTAATTTGTGATTTCAATGCAAACGAGAGTTGATAGTGAAAGTGATATAAGGCCCATTTGCCTGAAGAGTTACCAAGGATGGATGGCCCTTATTTCGTCTCTATTTCTGGTTATATACTCGATGGTTCCCGTTTTGACGACAATGGTAAGTTCTACAACGAATATAAAAAGGTTTTCCTTTAAAAAAAATATTCACAATAAAGTTGACTGTCCACAACTGCTTGGTAATTTAAACTTTAAGATTCCCACCAGGCTTCCGAGATTTCAGATAATGCTTTTCCACCCACCTCGTCGTAGAACAGTATTAGGTTCCAGTTCCCCTATTACTCTATAAGTCTAATTTATACCCCATATTTCTAATTTATATAAGTACTGTTCCAAATATGCGGATATATTCGTTGACTCACTGCTAGGTTTCAGAAACAATATTCTTGATTTTCTTGGTTAGGGCACATAGTATTCTCTATTATTTATTATCTGAATCGTGTTGTATATTTTACTTATAAAAAAACCTTCCTTAATTATTTCTTTTTTATTACTTTTAAAATTATTTTTTACTTTTCCAATTCTGTTTAAATATCGAATTCTTAGGTTTTCGCGATTATTACACATAGGAACTGAAACTATTTTTCCGGATTTAAATCGCGTATATTTGTTTTTTCAAACAAACCGACGTTTCGGGCCCTTTACAGGTCCCATGGTCACGGTTGACAGAGGTGGTACAGTCTTCAACCAGTTATGTCTAATATTGATGCAAACCACCCTATTTTTTCACTATAGTTACAATAGTTATTAATTAAATACCTTATTTTTAATTTTACAAAGAAAACATTCCAATTCACGCTATATTAAGTTTTACAAATTATTTTATTGAATGAATTTTTATTAAGTTTAATTTATTATTAATCAATAATAGAAATTAGAATAAACTAAAACATATTTATTAGTACTGCAGTCTTATGTCTGTTTGGGATTTTTCATTAGAGGAAATACTGGATCCCAAACTGGTGGTACGGAGAAACCATCTTCCCTGTTGAAATTAGGATGTTTTTTAATTTCAATGGCCTCACGCAGCATCCTGGGTAGATAACGGACTTCTTTTGCGAGGACCTGGGGTTTGTCAAACTTCATTGAATGTGTAAGTTTATCTATGACATGCTCGCAGTCTGCAGACTTGTTTACGCGAAGGTGTTTGACATCAGCTATATGTTCTTTGACGCGGGTACAAATACTTCGCTTTGTTTGTCCAATATAAGAGAGACCGCACTCACAGTCAAGCTTGTAAACTCCTGCATCCTGTAAGGGGATGTTACATTTCACGGGTCTCAGGAACTGAGAAATCTTCCTCAGGGGCTTGTAATAGGTCTTGATAGATGCGCGCCTGAGGACCCTTCCGATCTTGTCTGTAACACCTCTCACGTTAGGTAAGATGGCAGGTCTTCGCTCAACTGTTGGTGGTTTCACACGGGGCCTGTGGCATTGGCGTGGAATCTTCAACTTATTCGCATGTAGGACTTGCTTTATATGTTGAAGTTCCCCTGCCAGATGATTTCTGTCGCAGAAGTGTTTGAAATGTATTAATACCTACATAAAATATTGTAGTAACTGTTGGCCTAATAAATAAATAAATGAAATATATTTTGGGTATATAAATAGATACTCTTATTGCATGTCTTACAATTTATCAATAACCACAAGTATAAAACTTAAAAGCAGCAGCGCTTCTTGAAAAAGAAATCGTCTAGTACTGCCATCGTCCCTATTTCCGTGGATCTCTATTCTAACTAAAACAAGAGCTGATAATCTTCAAACAACTGAGCAAATGTTCACCAAATACTGCTAAGAAGAATCCTGTTTATAGTTCGGTTTCTATTTGTCCTTGTTTTGTTATGTGTACAGTAAATAGCTAGTTAACCTGTTTCATCATCACTACACAAGGTCACCGTAACATTTTATTTTCCTTGGAATCAAATGTCCACGGAAAGTGGACGGAATCAATAAACCGAATTCATCCATTAATTTGCCACCTTTGAATGTAGAATATTTTCTCCAAATTTAAATGAGATCACTATTAAAGTACCCTATTTTGAACTAAAAAGGATCATCTAAATTGGTTCACAAATGTCGCAATAATCGTGTAACATAAAAGTATTAGTAAGTAGTGTTTTGTACACTCTTTTTTGAAGTCGGCTTAAAATATACTGGTACTATTATCTAAGTTAACATAATAAGCTTAAACAAATTATAAACATTATGGCATAGAATTAAACGTATAAATGTTATCCTAGCAATTAAAACACCACATAATTTAGCAACAATTATTAAGTTCTAATTTTTCAATAAGCGCAGAAACGCTAGGGCGGGCACTGCGAAGAACTCAATAGCCACCCACCCATCTTGGCTTTATAGCCTCATAAATTGTACATTGGTAAACGTAGCCTTCGACCCTTTCAGTCCCATACGATTTCGACTAACGCGTCGGGATTAGAAACTGGCCATATTCTCAAAGTTTTACCTTCAACTTGACTTGATGACGGTCGAGGCCGTAGTTACTTTGAAGGAAAGTTCATTATTGGATGTCTTTGTTTTAGTAATGTATTTTTTTCTGTTATAACATAAACAACGTTTCGGTGTTTGCAAGCACTTTCTTCATTGTTAAGTTCTTTAATTTTTCTTACCGCATATGCAGCTGAATTGAGTCTCGCTGCTAGGGCTGTAATATGAGGATTCCGTTGTAATTTACAATCTATGGTGATGCCTAGGAACACTGTAGATTTAACCAATTCTAACAAATCATTGTTCAACATTATTTTACATTCAACACTTGGAAGTGTGAAATTTATAAGTTTGGTTTTTTTGGCATTAAGTTGTAAATTGTTCACAGTAAACCAATGAAGAACCTCTGCAAGAACCTTATTTACGTCGTGAAAATTATTTTTTGTTCGGTGAGTTTTAAAAATTAAGGAAGTTATCATCTGCAATTACGACTATTTTGCTACGGTTTTCTACAAAAAGGTAGATCATTCACATAAACTAAAAATAAAAAGGGGCCTTGCGGTACTCCCATTTGTGCAGAAGATCCAGATGATGTGGTTCCATTATCACTAACTCTTTGAATTCTGGAATTGAGATGCGATAATTTCAAAGCATTATCGCGGATTCCATAGTGTTTGATGATTTTTTTTCTGTTATAATATAAATAACATTTCGGTTGATTGAGAAAAGATATCAAATGTTTACGAAACAAAATTTTACTTATAAATCAACTATAAGTTTTACGAATTTAATGTCGGACTTACAAACATTATTGGTTAAAAAAAATATTCATAATATACACCGTGACAAATTGTTTTTAATAAAATTAATTACTAGACATATTTAAACACCGTCAGTAATTTAAATGTGAACTTGGCCTATTTAATCTACCCCAAACAAGCTATGTGCAACGTGATCTGGGAGCCCAATTTCCTTCCCCTAATTGACACCTGACCCTTTACTAAGCTGCTTTGATTCGTTCTTTGTAATTGTTTCTATAAGTAAAATATCCGCTCAATTTGTTTTAATTCCACTGTTTACTTTATTTATATTGTTAAAAGCATTTTGTATCAGTGTTAAATAAATTGCGTGTTGTTGTTTAGTATCACTTACATGAAACTGCTATTCAACAGAGCCGTAAAAATGTAGAACTATACTGGTATAATGCTTAACGATGAAAATTATTTCCCCCCATTTCACCGCCATTCCAAGGTTTCAGTAAAGCAATAAAGTTTTAGATTTAACAGTTCGTGATCTGTGTTCCTAGTAAGCGGTACATAGTCACGTACAGTGGGATTAAAACATTACGTGAACCCGTACTAATAGAGTTAAAGTGACCCGAGATTAAAACTTACCATCCAAGTAAACCGCCGTAGACGTAGACTTATCATTCTCGACGACCGGGCGAATTGTCTCGTAAGAAATTGTCCCCAATAGATTATCTCTAAGATCCAACATTATTAGACTCCTCACGTCTTCTAGGATATCTTCATAAAACCCCGTCAACTTATTCCCAGCCAACGTTAACTTTCTCAATTGAGTCAATCCCCCGAACGCTCTCTCCGAAACATATTCTATCTGATTATGATCCAGTATCAACTCTTTTAGTCCCCACAACTCGCTAAAAGCCAACTTCCCAATCATGTTCAATTTATTGTTCCTCAAATTTAATCTCGATAGATTCTCCAGTCCTTCGAATGTCTCTCTCGTAACTACTGTTATGTAGTTGTAATCTAATTTCAATTCCAGCAAGTTATTTAAGTGCTTAAAGCAACCGTCGTGTATCAGAGTTAAATTATTGTTTGATACATGCAAGATATGAAGATTCGGCAATCCAAAGAACACATCCCTTCTTATTTCCGAAATCTGATTGTCATCTAGACTTAGGTTCGATAACATCATCATTTGTGAGAACGCATGTCTCTCTAAGTTAACTATCTTATTAGATTTTAAAACGATTTGTCTAATCGTTGACGAATTAGTAAAAGCGTAAGGTGGTATACGCGAGATTGTTCCAAATTGTATAGATATGTGTTTTAATTTGTCAAGTCTTACAATAGCTTTAGCAGGTATAAATGTGAGAGCGTCATCAGACCGAACGTTGAACATGAGATGTTCTATTTCTGATTGAGAAGAAAAGTTCGGCCATATAGGATCTTCTTCTGTCAAACCACCACTAAATACCCAGCAGTCCGCTTTTGTTGCCATCTTCGGTTTATTACTGTCACAATAACAATGAACTTTAGACCTTCTGTCCTCGATGTCACAAACATTAACGAAGATGGGCTGGTAATAACGTCTATCAATCTTCGATTTGGTATCGTTCTTACTCTCTGTCACTGTAAGTTTCGCTGTCATTAGGGAAGCGATGATAATAACATACTTCGTAATTTGCTCCATTATTGTAGCTGCTGTTATATCTGCAACAAGAAAAAATACTTTATTAACATCTACAATTACAAGGTAATCATGTTTTAAGCCTATTACAACGGTTATCCGGTTTTAAATGAACATGAACCAACGTAATAGGGCTATAATAATAATTTATAGGAGACTAAAAACGTATAAAATATTCAATATCAAAAGTACAACAAAGTTAAGTCACGACGTAATTATGAATTGCCACTCATTAACGAATTTTAACCTAATTAAGTTACAAGACTGGATTTATTGCAGGGTCTTCGTGACAGCCCAGTGTATTTCGCTGGCGGCTTTAGGGATTTTAAAACTGTAAAGTTGGCCGGTGAAGTTTTGCTGGCGGATTAAAAGTTGCGTCTCGGTTTGCAATGTTAAAACTGCATTTTTAAAAAGTTTTATCTGCTGTTTACAAAAGTACTTACTTTGTGTTTGACTTTACTTCCTAAAACTTGGAGTTTCAATGAAAATATTCTCGTTTTATTTAGTTTTCAGATGAATTCCGACGTTTTATAAATTTAGTTTCAGCTTTTTACTGAAGGGATTTTGTTGAGACTTGTGACAAGTTACTGCCGAATTAGTTAAAGAAATCTGAGCTTCTTTTTGTTTTAATTGCAGTCAGGGTAATTTCCTCCAAGATTAATTCCTGGAGGAGTGATTAAAACAGCGCATGCTGGCAACTTTACACAAAAGAAAACAGAGGAGATTAGAGCAAAGGATTCTCTCGTGAGCAATCGAGTCTTAGGATGTGTTTGTTTTGTTTTTGGACGAGTTTTTGTTCGACGTGGCGGTCGGGCCAATATATTTAACAACCCTGGTAACAATTTCCCAGTAGATCATAGTCCCTTTGTAGCCCCAGGTGAAACAAATTTACTAAGCACTCTCGATATGCTGTTGTTATGGTGCTTTTTTCTATTTGACTTATGTTTTCTTTTCTTTGTCAGAGTGAAACAACACAGCTGGATCGTGGAGTAAAGCTCTATAATATCTATGTAGAGTATAAACTAAGTTTTACTGTTCTTAAATTTTTGGGAACGAATAATAGTGTTGTTGTATATGCGACTTGAAAAAATATACAGATGCCTGCACCTTAAAATAACATTTTTATAAAACAACCTACATCAAAAGTTTGTGGAATTACAATAATTTGTTAAGTTTTATTGAAATCCGTTTACGGAAAGTGGGTCAAATCCAATAAATCGTATTCATCCCCTAATTCGCCACACTGGGATATTCTGTTCAAATTTAAATGAGACAAATACTGAGGTAAGCCCTTTCCAACAAAAAAAGAGTCGAAAAATCGGTTCACAAACAAAAAGAAATTACTGTCGAATTGAGAACCTCCTCTTTTTTTAAAGTAGGTAAAAATTTAATTACCTAAATGATTTTTATTTTATTTATATTTTTTTTATAACTAAGTATTATGATTTGCTAATATTTTTAATTGTATGTTAACATTTGTGTATATATTGCAGTATAGTGTACAAATTGTTCGATACACTATACTCATGCATTCTTCTTATGATATCAGGTGACGGGTAAGTATCAGTTGCAGTTTGCAGTGCCTCTCAAAGCTTGGTATCGCAAAGATCTGAGGGGCACACACACAAATTTCACCAGCACCCATAATCTTTAAAAGCGGAACGCAGTAATGGTCACATTACTACTAGGCGGCAGAAATACGTAAGGATACTAGGTTACTTAAAAAGTATATATTAATATTTATAATTGACATTCGAACGGCAACTTAGATAATCTCAGTACAGAGTACTAAAAAAACCGACCTCAAAAGTACATGGAATTACATCTATTTGCCAAGTTTTTTTGAAATCGGTTACCGGAAAGTGCGCAAACCCGGATTCATGCCCTAGTTCGCCAATATACGAAACTTGACACAGGAGATAATAAAAATAGTTTCTCACTACTCGAAGTATATTGAGAGAGAAAAACGCCTTGAATTAGAGAATAGCAAAATCAACCATTAAAATAATTGCTCCTTATAATGAAATTTAGGCGCTATTTATAATAACCTCAGTACAGAGTACTAAAAAAACCGACCCCAAAAGTAAGTGGAATTACGTCTATTTGCTAAGTTTTATTGAAATATCCCCTAGTTCGCCACTATACTGGACTTGACACTGGAGATAATAAAAATCGGTTCTCACTACTCAAAATATATTGAGAGAAAAACGCCTTGAATTGGAAAAATAGCAAAATCAACCATTAAAGTAATTGCTCATAAATTAAAGTTAGGCGCTATTTATAAAAATGAATCTTCATGTGTGACAGCCACCCTTCGAGCTGGATGCTTTTCTCAAAATGAAATGGGACCACTATGAAAGTACTCCCTTTCCAACAAAAAATCCAGAATCATGAAAATCGGTTCACAAATACCGGAGTTATCGCGTAACATACATACAAAAAAAAAGAACACACAGACGAATTGAGAACCTCCTCCTTTGTTGAAGTCGTAAAAAGCAGGATTTTTTTCACATTTATTGACTACCTCCGTGGCTAAACGGTTAACATGCTGGTCTGCCACGCAGAGGTCCCGGCGTCGATTCCCAGGCCGGTTGAAATATTTGTATGGCCTACATTTATTTCTCTCGTGAATTTGTGATTGTCCATGAGTGTGTGCGTTATTACTTTTCGATTCTCAGATAAAGCATGAAGCTTAATATCCTATCTACAATATTTAACGCTTTTGGGACATGAGACATCCTGTATATTGATTTTATGGTATAAAATAAGGTAATCAGCCAGGCAGTCCTAGCAGAGAGTGGAGATTGAGGAAGTGCCCCTAATACTGTAAATAGGTTGCCGAACGTGAAACTTGTACAGGTGCCATCACAATTTGCAAGTGTAATCACAGACACTTATTCTCCGTACCCTTTAATCCGGAAAACAACTGTGCTTTTTTTATGATACCAGGTGACGGGATTAACAAGTTACACGCCTGACCATAGCAGTTGCAGTGTCAATAAGAGCTTTAAAACGCAAAGGACTTAAGTATACTACCACTGCGCTTGTAACCCTAAGGTACATGTTAACAAGTCTCATGTGCGTCATTTCACCCTTATACCTTTCAAAACCGGAACACAGTCATGCTCATATCACTGCTTAACGGCAGAAATAGGTGAAATGGCAGTACTTCCCTGGACGAGCTCTTTCACAAGGGGCTCTAGGGATTCCCACGAAAATTCTGCTCTGAAAATTTTAACACCAGTACGTCGAATTTTACAGCTCAGATTGAAATAAAATACATATAAAAGTTTCTACAAAGCAATAAAATGACTAAAACTTCTTGAATAATTGGTGAGAGGGCATTCCGAAAGGCTCGTTAAGTCCGAACAACACTAATCACCCTAACCTCAGGTAAACATTAATGTAACATGTGCGTTAACATAAATAGCTCACGTCCTAGTTTCCAAACCAAATTAAAACTTATGCCTGCTACTAGTTTTTTGACTAAATCTTTATGTTCAGACATGTCACTCCATTCATCTGATTTAACACAGTTTACCACAATTTTCATTCACACCGTAATGAATACGTAACTACTTTCAACTTTCACCTCATCATTAGAGTTCGGTGCAATATGTGCTCAATAAATATATTTATAGTCATTCAATCCTTCAGCAACCTGTTTAAAAAATACCATCTAATGTCGACGTATACACAATACATCTACGATATAATAGTTTACGCGCGTCAAAACTTGAGCACTTATGAGTGACGTACGGGCGGAGATCGAGTGTTGCAAAACACGGGAAAACTAAAATCTGTTTGTCCACCGTACCGAACTTGCGACGAGAAATCCGCGGGTAATAGGTCCCCGATTCTACGAAACTGAAAACCTGAAAAGTGTTACAAACGACGAAACGTTTAATACCCAACTAAACATCGATCTACGTGTCGATAAGTTTCTTTTGAAACAATGTGTAATTTTGTTTTACTTGACTTCATTGTATTTAGACAAGCTGTAGTTATACCACTTTATTTTTATATTAATTATTATTATTTACGTTAGTAACGATCGTATTATCCCTTGACATTGTATTTTTAATTGTAATATTGCAACATTGATAATATGAAATAAATTATTCTGTTCCAATTACAAACCGTTGGCCACATTAAATAAATAAATAAATAAATCGAACCTGGAACCTCTGCGTGGCAGTCCGGCATGGTAACCGTTCGGCCACAGAAGCAGTCGAAAAAAGTGTAGCGAATGGCAGCAGTCGCTATAAATCTCTTTTGTATATAGTTTGTGTCATGTTTAAAGTCTAAATTTAAATGTGATTGTTTTTGGCGCCTTTTCTGATATTGTTTTCTGTTTTGAATTGATAAGCTATACTTACGTATTTTTGTAGTAAATTAATAAACTGTATGTACCCATTGACAGCCCGAGTGAGGTTTGTTAAAACAAAAATACAGGTGACGACACGATTGTTACAGTAGCTAATACTTATAGCAAACTATTCCACGGAGTGGAAGAGATATCATATGACCCTTTACCTATACACGATTTATATATGGTTTTCCAGTCAGCTGTCTTGCTGAGATGAAATTAGTGATGTCTTCTTCTTTTTTTCATAGCATTCTTGACAGAGAGATCGTGGTCATCACAAAGTAAGTTTGTCAGACTTATGTGGCTCATTTCTCGATATCTCGCCACCTGTATCTCTTGGTGGAGTTTCTGGTGTACTCACTTTGACGTGCACAACAAGACGCTCTATGGAGTCTTGACACGTGATCAAGGAATCAGGATATGAGTTTGTAGCATGTATAGGAATCACGTGGCACTCTAGATTCCGAATCCAATACCATTCACTAGAGCTTATCAGTTTTATATATTTTTTTGTTAACAACTTGCTTGCGCATTTTAGAATACATATGACGCCATCTATTAGTACGAATGAAAATGCACGAAGTAGTGGCTTGGTTTGTAATTGGTAATTAGTTCGTAGCGTTAAACTAATTGA